AGCCTTAACTTTGACAAGGATATTCAAGCTTTTAGCAATTGTTGCCCAGCACTCTGAGGCATATGTCCTCTGGAGATGATGTTGCAATTCGTAATTCCTAATTTTTCATGTTTGGTCACTTATTGGATTTTAGCTATCTAATATGTTTGATATGTACAATATAAAGAAATTTCGCAAGCTATAGGACCTGTTTGGTAGATTATTTGAAAAATGATATTCTGAAAAATTATTTTAAGTTGAGTTGAGTTAGATTAAATTGAATAGGATAGGATTATGAGAATGTATTTGGTATAATATCTGAAAATTATATCAAAGTTGGTTAAAATGCTAAAAAGTTATTTAGTTCATTTTTGAAAAACATTTTCTAAAAATATTTAGATTATTTGTTGACCCCTTATATTTGTTAATTTAGCTAAACACCCCCCACAATAAAAGTTTAAAAATGAACAAAAACACCCCTATCCATCCAAACCACTGCTGGCCGTCTGCCACCATCGCTGAATGGCAACCGACAGTTGTCGAAACGGCGCATGACCGGTTGGATCTGACTGGTCGTAAGCCGATTTGGCCTTTTTTGGCCAGATCCATTGTTATCTTGATGATGGCCAAAATTTGGCTGTCGTAAATCTGGCCGTCAACGGCTAGATCTTTGGCTGTAGATCTGGTCGTTTCTGGTCAGATCCATGGTGGATTTGGCCAGAAAGGGCCAGATCGGTGTACGACCGGTCAGATCCGGCTGATCATGCGTCGTTCTAGCGTTGGTCGTGGTTTCTGGTAGGCAGTGGTGGTGTTGGGTGGATTAATTTTCAGATTGGAATGAGTGAAAGATAATTGTTTTCAGTTGAATAGGGTTGGAAAAATGTTTTGAATTGAATATAATAGAATAATAGAAAGCAAGTCCTCACCTCTTTTCATTTTCAATAGAAAAAATCTTATTTGATTTATATTAATTTTCACAATAATGATCCCAATAAATAAATAAACACATATTTTGTTTTTTAACTCAAATAGGATAAGAGAAAAATGATTCAAAAGAGTGAAACAAACAGGGCATAATTTCCTAACAAGATTTTTTCCATTTCTACCAGCATATGAGCCTCAATAAATGCATAAGATATGTCAAACTTGGGGAAAAATTTTGTGGTGCCAAACTTGGGGGAGGATGTGCCTAGGTGCAATCCATCTGGGTTTCATTCCAATGCCTTCCAATGCAGACAATTTTTGCTTCTTTTGAAAACTATGAATATATTATTGTATGGTCGTATTAGCTCCAATTCTTACATCCTTCTGTAAGCTCTAAGATTCTTACGCCTTTGAGATACTAAGATTTTTCATTGGGAAATTTGACCTGACAATGAGTATCTTCTGTAGCCATGTAATGATTGTTATTCTGTGGTTCAAAGAGGGAGAATGATTTTACATTTAGTGTCACCTAAATGAAAAATCCTAAATGAAAAATAGTGTCACCAAAGTCGCTGCACTGCTTTGCTATTCCAGTTGGAAGTTTATTTCATTTTATTTTTCCTTGCAATAATTGATTTTGCACTTCAGGTTGAAAAGCAAAGGATTATGCAAGCAAGCATTGGAAAACCTGTGCATATAACAGACGGACACAAGGGAAACCAGGACTTGGTAGGGACGGAAACAATTAGAGCTGGGTCTGCGAAAGTAAATCATGCATCTGCAAGTGCTGTGATGACGGGAAATGCAAAAAATATGTTAAATCCAATTACTTGTACCGTATCACCAACCTTAGATTCCAGTACAAGTGCTTCAGCCAATCCAAAATTGAAATGTTCTGGAGACACGAAGAAGCCATCCAATGGGTCTTTCAATTTCTTTGACAGGTATATTTTTCATGGCCGGTGGTGTGCCCCCTTTTTCATTTGTCTTTTATAATCACTTCATTTATGGGTTAAAATTAATGAAAAGTTGAGTTAAATTACATGTGTAATTAAATAACAAATACCTTTTAGTCTAAGCCTTCCTTCTCAGAACCATGAATCGACTAGAAATAGCAAACCTTAGGCTTGTGATGGAGAACTAGGAAATTAAGGAAATGGCTAATGTAAAATTTTTAATGTAGGATTAGGAAATTAAGGATTATAATTGTAATATGTTTATTATATATCTCTCTCATCACAATATTATATATTTTATCATTGAGTCATTGACCATTTCTTCATTGAGATTGTGACTGTTGATGCATCTATTAGTGGTATTCAGCTTTGAACCCATTGTATGTACTAACGTAGTTGGAGCACTTCTGCAAAGTTGAGGAAAATGTGTGCTTGCTGGCCTGCCTCATGATCCCAACATTTTTCTTTTAAGTTGGAGTAGAGACCTTGTTTCCGCATGATTCTCTTGGCAGAGTTCCTGTCTTGTTTTAGTTGCTTATATTTTCCAGTTACCTGTAGATCTGATGTGAGACTATTTTATCGATTTACTATTATCATCTCTGTAGTAAATCTGCATTGAGTGCTGATTTGCAACGAAAAAAAGCTTGTTGTGTCTAGGGTTGGAAGTGATAACATACTAGAATAAATGTTTATCATGCTATGTAGCAGCCAATCCCATTTTAAATCCTGATAAATCTTGTTTTGTCATAAACCAGGTTTAGGAAATCAAATAGTAAAGGGTCTCAGAATACTGATACTGTTGTACAGAAGGCAACAATGGAAAGAGATTCACGCCCCCTTTTATTTAAATTTAATGAGGTATGTCACTATGCATAGTATTTTTATTTGTTACTTCTAAATGCTAATCACGAGATAATTAAGATTATAGCTACATATACCAGCTTTTGAAGTATTTGGTTGAGTGGTTTTGGCATGAATTCGCTGCTTAAATTTGATAGTGACTCTGTTGGAACACTGAAAAAGAATCATAATGCACCATCTTAGCCTTAGGAGATATTTTTTTTTTCTTTTTTGGTAAAATTTTGTAATTAAAATTTTAATAATCAAATACCGTTGCAAATTGAGTCGATCACACCACTGCTCTTCATCTACCTTTTTTCTCATTAATTTCACTTGAAAAAAGAACAAATCTACAAATTACTACCGTAAGGTTTCCAAGATATCATTGCCTTTAGTTAACATAGTCATTAGAGGTAAATGCTCTTTTAATAATAATAAAAGAACAAATTTTCTGAAGTTTTAAGGGGTAATGTCATTTCATGCTTTCAATTTTTAAATTAACTAAACGTAGGGAAAGTTTGATGATATCCCTGAAATCTTTAGGGGTGAGTGTATTTTCCTTAAAGCGGAAAAGGGCGATGTACTTTACCCTGTTCTCACCTGCAGTGATCTAATAATTTTCGCCGCATAAAAAACACTAAGTCTGCAGTGGTTGGCATATAACTCATAAAAAGTGCATTTACCTGTGTTGATAATTTACAAGCTGGTACTATTAGTGTACATGAGTTTCACTTTGTTTCATTAATCGTTTTGTATTTTTGTATGCAGGGTTTTACAAATGCCGTAAAAAGGCCTGTTCGGATGCATGAATTTTTGCTATGATAATTTATACTTCCCAGCAATATGGAGAAATTTTCTCCATCCACAATACATAGTATATATGCCAAATATCTAAATTGCATACCGAAATTTTGAAATTAACCATGTACTATATTGTGTTTTTTCTAGATTGTTCATTTGGATGCCGCTGAGCTTTAGACTGTACCGTTGGAAAAAAAATTTGCATTGGGGCGCCGTATTTGGATGCCGCTGAGCCTTTAGGCTGTACCGTTGGAAAAAAAAATTGAATTGGGGCGCCGTGAGTGGTAAGTCCGTATAAAGTTTGATCATTGCGTATACAAGTTCATATTTCAAATTCAAACCTTGTACCGTGCCTCTTATTAGTTGATGAATGAAGCCTTAAAGGGATGATGGAGCAGAATAATCTCAAATTTTACTAAATATTTAGAGTCTTGAGTATTAGAATAGAAATACACCATGCATTATTCTATGTTAAAAAAATCTTCGCTATGATTGATTTTTTTTTTCAATAATAATAATGGGCAGATTTTTAATTATCTTATATTGGTTTCTTCTAAAGGGAATTGGTTTTGTGTTTGTTGATGAAGAAATGAACTTAGCTGGTCAGTTAAAAAAAAAAAAAAAAAAAAAAAATCAAATAAAAGCCCCAAATTCGTATTTTTTATAAAGAAACCTTTGATCAAAAAGATAGAGCAAGATTCATTTTGCATCATATCTAAGGGATTCGTTAGTTCAGACAGAAGAAACAGTGTCACTAGATCATGATGAAATCTGACTTAATCTGTTTCTATTCGTGAGGAATTTACTAATGGTGCATTCTACTTTTAATAAGCTATGAACCAGATCAGAATCATTCTTAATAAGTCTAGAAGAAGTGATCCCATTTTGTTAATTAGGTTTGAGTAGATCAAAAGTCTTGAACAACTGATATAAACAAAACAGCTTAAAGGATAAAGAAGTATCGGTAGTTTCTTTGTGCTCGTCCCAAGTTCAAAGTACCATTTGTAAACCTTCCAACCATCGTCCGTGGCCATTTTGGTTTTGGCACACCACTAAGTGTAGGACTTGAATACTTAAGCCGAATTGAGGTTCTGTGCAATTGTTACACTTGAAATTTCATTTTGGTTGATGCAGGCCATGTTTATGATCAGGGAAAAATATCACCCAAAAGTTAGGAGATAATAAGACTAATTGTGTAGCCGGACATGAAAAATTGAACCATGGAGAAGAAACAATATATCCATTGAAAGGTAAAAATTAAGAATATGGAGAAAAAGGAAAATAATATGAGTAATACTACATAAAATCTTCCATTTGTCATCAAAAAAATGTTTATAATTACATTGTAATTGTCTCAATGAAGCCGAAGAATCAAAGATATCAACCTAAGAACACAAAGTACACATTACTTACAACACTTGGGAGGCCAAAGCCAGGAGAGACAATAATATCAAAAAAGAATATTCATAGTGTACCTCCCCTTGGGTTTCAAATTCTTGCTTATAAATTTTGCTGAGAATTTTTGTTATCAGGGGGACTAATTGATATCCAAAGCAATGAAACTGTAATGGAAACCAAACCTGCCCACACATATACAATTGTGGGAACTCTCCCTCTTCTCCCCAACAATCCTTTGATGAATGGATACATGTGAGCCAACACCCAGAAGCTGAAAAATGTTCCTCCCAGTAGCTTACTCCATTGCGGAATTATGCTGTAAACAGTTCTCGAGAACGCCATAACAATTGCAACAATGTTCACCACTATGATTGTAAGTGGCATTATGAAGAGACTTGTCCATTTTACTACATAAAGATCGGCGTACATGTCCTCATCATCATCAGCTGCAGACTTTGTTGTTAACTTGAATGAGATTTCGATACCGGCAAGCACTTTAAGGAGACCCTGGATCACAGCAGCCAGGTGAGCGCTAGTGCCACCAATCAACCAAAATTGCTCATTTCTCCACCATTCCTCGAGCCCAATTCCTGACCATTTCACTTCTAAAAGGGAGATTAGTGTTAGTGTTACTGAGATTATGAGAAGGTAAGTAAGGAAAGTGGTGTTGAGGTTTTGAACGATGAATTTTCCGGTGAAGAGGCAAAGAGCTGGAAGGAAGCAGTATAAAACCAAGAAGAATGAAGTGAAAGGGTAGATGCCGACGTTGAGATATGCAATGCGCTGTAGAAACTTGAGGCGTCTCGTTGCGAAAATGGCATTGTTACGGGAGAAATAGATCTCCACTGAACCTGTAGCCCATCTAAGAACTTGATGGAGACGGTCTGTTAGATTAATGGGTGCAGAACCTCGGAAGGCGTCACGCTTTGTGATGCAGTAAACAGACCGCCATCCACGGTTGTGCATACGGTAACCTGTCACGACATCCTCCGTCACTGACCCATAGATCCACCCTACTCTCTGCCCCCATTCTGTCTTGTCCTCGTACCTGCACTTGGCGTCAAAACATCAATAACATAGCTCCATCTGGAAAACATATTCATCTGAATGTAGGCATTAATTACCAGCAGGAAATGACCGCAACTGCCTCAGCAACAGTAGGTGCATCGAGTGGAGGACGAGGCACGAGCAATGAACCAGGAGGCCTGCCATTCTTGACAGAAATATGATCTGCTAGCGGCCTTCCTTGGTACTCGGCAACAGCAATAGATTCGGCAAACAATTGTGAATTCCCAAACCTCCTTGGCAGGTCCAGGTCCGGGTGCGAGGCTAGCGCTAGAGGCTGTGTCTCTGAATCGTCTTCATTTGATCGTGGTTGAACAATAGGAGCTGGAGCTTTATTTTGCCCAACCACGCCTAAGTACTCCGTTGCCCTTGGTGGGTTGAATCCATAGAGTGCATATCTCCTGAACATTGTCCCAGTTCCCACGTACACTGGCCCCTGGAGACCGTCCAATGCTCTCATATTTCCTGCACCATTTTTAGTTTTATTGAGTTAGCTTGTGTTTATTTGGGTGCGTGCGTTAATTATGCAAATGCAAATTTTATTACCATCAAAGAAGACAGTGTTATGATTAGCATAGCGATCCGAGGGATCGATCCCTTCAAATCTCTGAGGAAACTGTATGTAGCAGATTCGATCACCGCCGCGGTCCATCATGAAGCACATTCCCTCCCTGATTGCTTTACAATTGTATATGTAATGGTCACAATCCAAATTCAGAATGAATGGCCCGTTTGACAATATTGCTGAAGCTCTAACCATGGCATTCATGGCTCCAGCCTTCTTATTGTGGTCATAACCTTTCCTTTTCTCTCTTGAAACATATGCAAACATTGGTAGCCGAATATCTACCCCTGTGAAATCCAATCTTTTCTCGTCTGGATGACCCATTACTGGATCAGGTTCCGGGACCTTGCTCATCACCTGTGTCACAAATTTTTACCATTTAGGATTATCTACTTGACACTCAAATACATATGAAAAAATTCTTAAATGCAAACATTCTGAAGTTTTTATTGTGCTAACCAAAAGTGGGTAACTAGTTCCTGACTTTTGATTTCACATTTCGTGAAGATAACGACCAATCATTCACCTTTGATCGTTGTAATATAATCATTTATGAATAATTATTCTGACCTGCAAAATTCCAGCATGGTCGCCTTTAGCATGATCAGCCGTGGGATGGAGCCATGTGCCAGGCCAGTGCGTCCCATCAGCCATCCACGTGGCTTTGCTTACATTGCTGGGCTCTTGTGTTGTCTCCCCACCGTTCTTTTCCCGGGCAATGTTCCTCTCCTTCATGTTCTCTCTGGAGTTGTAACCATCACTACGTCGTCGTATTACCTCCGGTAGACCGTTGATCCTCACCTTGAACTCGTCATACTCTCTCTTGATCCAGCGCCGGTCCTTGACAAAGTCCGGACGCTTCTTGTTCTTCGTCGGATCCCTTTTTTGGCTGAAGTAACTGTCCGGGTTCCTTGGCTCAATATTGTGCTTTCGACAAAACGGCACCCATACCTCCGCAAAACGAACGGCTTCAGCCATGGCCTCAAAGCTGAGAATGGCGCCACCATCGTCAGAGATATAGGCAGAGAGCTTCTCAGTAGGATAGTCCACGGCAAGAATGGATAAAAGGGTGTTGGCAGTGACAAGTGGAGGCTCTTTGTCGGGGTCAGCCGTGGAGATGAAGACATCGACGCCGGGAAGATCGGAGCGGCCGCGAGGGTTGGCGGGAGTAGGAGTTTCAAACTTGTCCTGGAGGGCAACGAGGTCAGTAGCTCTATTGATGGGGTTGAGCTTAGGGAGAATATCTAATATCCATGAAAATGCAAACCAAAGTTCACAAACTATGGATATCCCCCACAACCACATTGCATCCGGGTTTGGGTTTCGGATTCTCCATTGAAGGAAGAAAGCAAGAGCCACCAAACGAAATACTATGAGTAGTCTGTTCAACCACCACAAGAAGAAACATGTATATATGTTACAATTTCTTATGTTTTATATACGCAAATTAAATGATAAAAACTTTATAAATATACGCTACACAGAAATAATAATAAGGCAGTTTCATCATCTAGGTTGATCGTATTTTTAACATAATGGGTTATTGGTAAATAAAACAAATAATTACTCGTAAATCATAAGGATGAATGAATAATATAGAAAATATGTAGTGACATGTGATGTTGTATCAAATGAGATGTTGAGACTCTGCGCAAGTTTGTTTTTCTCTATTCTACAATGATACCTGTAAGGGCTGAGAATAGCAGGCGGAACCTTAACCTTCCTGGTGAGTGGTTTCCAAGGCTTGTCCATAAAATCTTGCATGCTCACATCAGGTCCATAAGCATCCTTGTCAGATGGTGTCCAAAATGCATTTCCAATTCCATACTTCCCTTTTGTTTCAAACAACCAACGATTATGATCAAAATCCCCCGTTTGGCTCCTCAACAACATTGATTTATTATTTGATTTCATTACTGACATTCTCCTGTCCGTTTTTGTTCCATTATTACCACCACCGCCATGATCACCATAACCACCATCCCCGGCCCCCACCCGCCGACTCATCTGTCGGGCCTCCGGCCCAAACCGCGAGGTTTGGTACGAGTTAGACCCCTCAGGCTTCGAGTCCGAGCCTTGTCCGGTGCCCGAAGAGGGTTGGTTATCCGGCGTTGGAGGCATAAGAACTGTGTAATTGATGTAGTCATTTTGGGGTGTAAATTCACCCGACATGTCCAAATCATCGTCCCTGGAGAGGCTCACCACACGTCCACTTGACGTCCGGCGAGCGAATTTCACAGCCTGAGGTGGACGTCCGGCTGTTGATGTTTGTTTAGACAAGGATGATTTCTTTGGGCTTGATGGGCTTGCCATGTTGATGTTGTCCTGGTGAATATTTATTTTTATATAAATATGTCTTAGTTAGGAAATTCCATTCTGGTCATAAATGGAAAAGTTTTCTTGCAGGGGAAGGGAGGAAGGTTAAAGGGATAAAAATGAGGTAAAAAGTAATGGAATGACTGGTTGAAGACATTATTTGGAATATGAGTTCAGTGGTCTTCATTTTTCATTTCTAAATTTAGTTTTCCGGCTGCGATTTTTTCTCCCTTGTTTTAAGCTTGGCCTCTCCCGCTCTCTCCAGAGCATGGATTCTTCACACACACCCACCATTCGTTTGTTTGTACGTAATTAATTTACGTTCTAATTAACCCCATCTCTCCCTCTCTCTCCATATAAACATCTGATATCACATAATCAAAGTGAAAGCAAACAATCAAAATACCAGAGAATGTTAGTACATTTATTCTTGACTTGAGGTAGATTGAGCTTAAGATGTGATCACTTGGTTACTACTATAATAAGTAATCATATATAATCTTAAACATTATGATAGTAGTATTCCACTGTTTATGATCATCCTGCACAAATGATACAAAACAGTTTTGAAAATCTTATTTGATTACACTTAAATACAAATATGCTCATCACCATTTCTTTCTTCTTTCTTCTCATTTCTTTCTTTCTTTCTTCTCTACGTCTTAAACTATAAGGAAAATAATACAGTCATCGACGGTAGTACACCGAATTTGTACACCGAATGACGTAACAAAATCCTGACCGTTGATTAATTTTAACTTAATATTAATCAACGGTCAAGATTTTGTCACGTCATTCGGTGCACAAATTCGATACACTACCATCGGTGACTGTAGCATTACTCTAAACACCATTTCTTTCTTCTTCCTTTTCCACTTCTTAAACCATGCATAAACATCAATTAAATTTTAAAAAAGCTTGAACACCTAGAGATTTACACACTATATTAAGATAGTTGATTGAACAAAGCATATGTTTTTAGTAATTTTTTTGTTCTTTTGTTGTTGCAAAAATAAATTAACAGTATTTGCTCTCATAATTGATATTGGGTTGATATGTACTATGTAGCTTGGGTTTCTAAGATGTTGTTTAAGTTTATATGTCATGTGAGCCAAGAATTAATGTGAGGAGAGGCATAATTAAAAACATAATATAATTTAAATTTTTTATTATAATGACAAATGGAAGCAGAAATGTAAAAATAATAAGAGAAAGTTAATGACTTGATTTTCTTGTAATTAATATACAAGTTTATTGATAATAATACGAGAAAATTACTAGACTAATAAAGACTTATTTATACTAAAAACTAAGAAAAGCCAATTATAATATCTTCAATAACAATTACTTTCCTCTAACATAAGAAAAATAACTTAAAGAAAACCCATCAAAATTCTAATTTCTAAGGGTAAAGTAAATTAAAGAGACATGGTAAATATGATTGCTAATGTAATAAATAATTTGTCCTACTGAAGACCCCTAATTTTTATTAAGTGTTTATAAGATGTATCTTATTTATTCATAATATAAAACTTCATTTACTTTGTTTTCTTAATTACTGATTGTGCAATTAAATTTGTATTAAATTTATAATCTAAAATTTTGTTTAGTTTATGTGTGCCTCTCGAATAGCCTAGAATTTATTAAACATTTCTCAACTTACAAATGATAACAATGTGATTGTGGAATTTCATACTGATCAATGCTTTATTAAAGATAAGATCACTAAAGAGGTTCTGTTACAAGGGAATTTAAAACATGGGCTCTATCAGTTGGAAGTCTCACTACCTCTTTTGTTACTTCTGCATCTTCCACGCCTACTGTACAAGCTTCGTGTCCTCAACTACGTATGGCAGAAAAGTCCTCCTGTTTAAATAAAAGATCAAGTTCTCATGATGTTGCTTCTTGTGATGTATCCGGCTTAACCACCAAAAAGTGTAAAGGTCATTGTTCATTGCGTGATCGGAATCTTACTCATACTTTGTTAGAATAAGGACTAAACGGTGGCGTTTTGATGTGTTTCAATTTCTTACAAAAGTCCGCCTCTTGTAACAGTATCATTTAGTAAAATGAAAAATAGATTCTTTATTATCTTGTTAATTTTTCTTTCGATTACTTTTCTTTCTTCTTTTTCTAAGTTCTTCCAGAAACTTCTTATATCCTTTCATGGTATGCAGGACATTTTATTAAAAGACCATATGAAGTTCAAATTTAATTAAAAGACTATATAGTTTTAAAGTGTTAACTAAATAACCTTATTATTGATTAAGGTTAATTAAACATGATTAGTAAATAATTAGGATTAATGAAATATTGTGTAATCTTTTAAAAATTATAATATGTCCCCAAAAACTTGCAAACAAACTCAAACACCTTTTTCTTCTTCCTTCCGCCATTAACGCATCCCTCCACTGGTTGCTGTTTCTTCTAAGTTTTGTCTACATCTTCTTCTTCCTCCGCCATTAACACTTTCTTCTTCCTCCGCCATTAACATCTTTTTCGCCACAGATTCGCCTCCTCCTCCTCTTGACATTTTGTCAAGGTATGTGTATCTCCTCTTTGCATTTTATATTTCGATTTACAAAGATTTAATGATGGATTGGGTTAGGGTTAGGGTTATGATTTTGATTTAGTTGTTTAGGTTGTTGGGTTGTATTTGAAGTAATGCAAGTTGAAAAGAGTGAAGTTTGTTAAATATTTTCTTGCATTGTGGGTAGCTGAGGGTGGTAGTACTGATTATAGGTGAAAATGATTGAAAATGTGTTCTGGATTTAATGGATTGCTTAAGTGATTTGGTATGTCTAGTATAATCCAGCATATCACAGATCGCTTAAGCGATCAGGTATATGGCAGAAGATCACTTAAGCGATCAGACTTATTTATACTAGATCGCTTAAACGATATACTAGATTGCTTGAGCGATCCACTAAGTGATATACCAGATCGCTTAAGCGATACACCACATCGCTTAAGCGACTCTACAGATGCTTTTTAAAATCTGTCAACCTTTATACATTAGTTAATAATTTTTTTTCTTGCATTATTGGTACTTGGCTATTATTAGACATGAGACAAGTTGTTTTGGGTGTTGTATATTTTGGTGAGTGGGTGGAGGAAGAAAGTTGCTGGAAGTGGATTGAGAAGAGCAAAGAAGTTATACCAATTGCTATGAACATAGAGGTTAGTTTTGATGAGTTGATTGATGAAATAATTAAAAGAGGTGATTTGAGTTGCTCATGTAGTGATATAGTTGTGAAGTATGTTTTAAGCAGAGTTCTTGAACATTATAAGGTACTTCCTGCTATATTAAAGTTGGATGAAAGTGTGAAGTTATATATGTTTGATGTGGACGATAATGGTTCGAGGCCGATTTTAAGGGTTTCTTTTGTAGATAAACCGTTGGAAGTTGGTTCAAAGGAAGGTGATAATGAGGAAGTTGGTGGAGAGAATGCTGGTTTTAATTTTACCTATGAGAGCATTGATTTCTTAGTTGAAAAATCAAGAGTAGATGGTGATTTGGGTGGTGAGGAGGACACTGTAGAAGAGGTTGGTCATGTGGGGTAGAATGAAAATGTTGACAAGGAGGACCCGTACATGTTCCCCCAGATATAGAGATTCCTATAAATACAGATTATGCAAAAGGTGTAGTTTGTGAGGAAGAGAACACTATGGTCCTTTATGTAGGTTTAGAGGCGGCAATTGCGGGTACTAGTGAATCAACTCATGTTTTTACTAATGGATCGGACTTGCACGTAGGGTATTTATTTGACAGTAAGGAGGAGGTGGTGAGGAAGCTAAAACTTGTTGTTGTGAGAGGTAATTTTGAGTTCATCACCAAAAAGTCTAATTCATTGGTAGTGACGGTTGCATGTCGTGACCAAAAGTACAAGTGACGGGTTTATTATAAAAGGTTGGTAGAATTTGAAAAATTTATTGGGGTTGGGACATATTTCAAGTGAGCATCGACAAGCCTCCGCTGGTATTATTGGACAATTTGTCAAAAATCAGTTTATTGAAGGGAAAGGTCCATCCCCTAAGGACATTCAGAGACTTGTGCGCACAGAATTGGGATGCGTTGTTAGTTATTAGAAATGCTAGAAAGGGAGACAACATGCATAAGATTTTGTGAGGGGCACGCTGGAGCACGGGTATGTAGTATTAGAAGTGTACCGTTATATGCTTGAGTTGACAAACCAAGGTAGCAAGATGGCTTTGAAGTGGGACAAGAATATGAGATTTAAATATTTTTTTGTTGCTTAAAATACTGTTATTAGGGGTTTTGTAAACATGAGAAAGGTGTTGGCTATTGATGGTTTCTTTTTGATGGTAAAGTACGGAGGTACATTGTTGGTGGCCACTGTACATGATAGCGAGAATCACACATATACTGTTGCATGGTGTGTGGTTGACTCTGAGAACGACATCGTGAACTTGATTTTTTAGCAATTACTTACGATAGTGCTTGATAGTGACGAGTTGTGCATAATATCCGATAGGCACAACTCTATAAGGAAGGGGATTGCCACTATTTACCCTCAAGCACATCACAGATTCTGTATGAGACACCTTGATGAGAACATAAAACAAAAGTTTAAGTGTGTTGACCTTTTTCAGACAAACTACATGACAGTAAAAGCTTATTGAGTTAATGAGTTCGAGCAGCAGTTCCGGCAAATCCGAATCAAGGATAATAGAATTGCTAAGTACTTGAGCATGATGTTGGTTTTGAGCAATGGAGTAAAGCTTACTTTCCTGGAAGAAGGTTGGATGTCTTGACTAACATAGCCGAGTCCATAAATTTGAAGTTGTTAATAGAAAGATAGTTTCCAATTGTTGTCATTTTTGATGCAATCCAGAGGACATTGTCACGGTGGTTCCATGAGCGTCGTACGAAGTCAGATAATTTTACCACAATCTTTGTTCCGCTAGCTAAAAAATTATTGCGAGAATGTATGGAAACTCTTTATTTTTTACCACTAATTAGTTAGACCTTTATT